TTTAGATTAAGGGCAGATCACTCTAACTGCAGAAAAATACCTTAGAATCAGAACCCTTAAGTGTGCAGTGTAGAGAGGGTTCTTAAAATAACAAACTTGCGAAAAAAGAAAATGAAAGTGTGAAAATGTGCTCTTGTGTTATCCATATAAAATAAAAGTTTTGTTGCAGATTCCTGGTAAAGGTTCAGTGTTCTGAATAAAGACTCGATCTATTAACTATTAAGCAATCAAGAGAATACTCTATACTTTATAAGTAATAATATGCTAATGCTAGGTAAAATCGTATTATTGGTGTTACCAGCACTTCTATTTGCAACAATCCAATACTGAACTGATTATTTTTAGCTCAGAAAAGCGCTACAGAATACATGTATACACTGCACCATGCTTCCATGTTCTTTTTTTTACAGCCCTCAAATAAATCCTAATAATTTAAAAAATGACAGTGAAATTAATTTATACTATGATCTTTCGTCAAATAAACAATGTGAAAATATATTGGGGAATTTTTTTTATGAATTTGCAACAAGATTATTTAATTGAACTTTTGACAAAAAAAAACAAAAATAAAAATTTACGTTCATCCCGAAATTCCGAAAGCCGTCACCTAGTCCCAAAGGAAAACTTTCAGCGACAGGAGTTTAAGCACCATCAGTAAAAAATTCGATTGATTGATTGATTTTATACTGTGTAACGTCCCTCTCCAGAATATTTCACTGATATGGAGACGTCACCATTGCCGGTGAAGGGCTGCAAATTTAGGCCTATGCTTGGAACTTACGGCCTTTGAGCAGGGAGGGATCTTTATCGTGCCACACCTGCTGTGACACGGGGCCTCGGTTTATACAGTCTCATCCAAAGGACCGCCCCATTTAGTCGCCTTTTACGACAGGCAAGGGGGTACTGAGGACCTATTCTAACCTGGATCCCCACGGGGCGTCAAAAATTCGAAATAAACTGTCTTTTTTACTGAGACAATCACAATCTATTGATATTTTCAAAAACAGCTTAAACATTTACTTCTTTGAAGACTTTAATGCTTTATTTAAATTATTACTTGCCATGTATCTATTTATGTTAGTATATATTAATTGTTATGTGTAAATATCTTTTACAGTATTACTCTACAACGCCCTTGAATACGTTCGTGTAATAATAAGGGTTTAAAATTTAAAAAATCAGTTTCAGTTTCAGACTTAACAAAGTTCAACTTGATACACAACAAATGGAATTTCGAGTGTTGCAGGAAGAATCAAAAACAGATCGCAAGATTCTACTTTATTTTCAACAGAAAAATGATTTAAGATTCAAGAGTGCTAATTTATAAGCGAAATCCACTGAAGGTTACCAGTGGGGCATCACTGTGTGTAGCGTAAGCACCTCCATTATGTCTCCTAACCCAGACTCTGTCTCCAACACTTAAATGTAATATAGCAAGATTTGTCCCTGTTTGATACGAGTGTGAACCGGAAGTGGAATAGGACATCGTTCTCACTTTACTGCACACCGTTTAACACAATATCTAAATATAGATCAACGTTCGAATCTGAAATCACAGCAACATAGAAGACAAAAGTCCCTGTCACGGGGGAGGTAAACACGCCGGAGTAAGTGCTGTAGCCGCCCCCGTTAGAGTAAATCAATCTGTTGAACAATAAGGGAGATCCTGACCACACATTGCTAGTGGTTGCACCTGCTGTAAAACCGACATGGTTTCGAATTTCTGAAATGAGAATAATGAAATGATAAGAATTGCAACTGAAAGTAATGAACTTTGTTAGCCGAAATTAAATTTTTAACGAAAATATTTTTTCTGACATGAATACCTTTTGAAATCATTCACTCTTCAATACTTTGTTAAGGAATGTCAAGAGAGCTAATACTTATTTCCTTTTACTGTATAAATAGATATCACCTACCTCGGATATTTGATTCCAAATTGCTGATAGAATTTACAATGTTGTGTGTTACTAAGTTTCCGTTACGAATGTCTGATATTAGATTGTTGATGAATAAACATTTACGTTAACTGACACAAGTTACGTAAGAACTGTCTTAAGATGTTGCATGATCAATTCAAATTTCAAGTTTTCGTCATTTTTTGAAGTATCTTGTAAACGACCTTTGTCAAGTTACTATCCTTGCACAATTTATCATCGTTGAATTATGATTCATCGCTGTATGCTTATGTATTAAATATACATCTATATTCTTCAATCAGAAAACCACAAGTTTTCTGCTGTTAGCAAATTTAAAATAACTTCCGCAAAAGCAAACGTCTCTCCTTTGAGTTTGAGGGGATTTTTTTATTATCCATTCACCGTACTTTTTAGTGCTTTTACCAGCGTAGACAGTAATCCTTGAAATTTTTATTTGAACCTCAATATTTGCAAATGATCTATGTGTATGGATGTTACAAAATATTGTCTCATTTGATGTATTATCGACGTAAAGATTCTAGTCTTTAAATAGCAAAAAAAAAAAAAATAAATAAATAAATAAAAATAAAAATAAAAAAAATTGAAGACTGTAAACCTATAGGGTTTAGCACAGACATATTGTTTGAACATAAAGAGTTGTCATTGGCTTACAAGACGCTTCTCCAATAAATCATATAAGGTGCTCTCTTAGCTTGTTTACATTCTTTTTCTTTTTTCTTTCTTTTCTTTTTTTTTTGGTAACCTGGATGTCACAAAGTGGTCATTTTGTGTTTGATGACGTTACTATCACTTTGAAAAATATCACTGGCCTGTAAAACGAGTCAGTTTACGGTATTTGTGGCTATAGTCATTTAGGAATATAAGAATCTTCAATACCAGAAGTATCTAAAATCCTATGAACACCTGTACATGTAGATGTCATATAAGCTTACAGATAAAGCCAGCAGGCCATTGATAACTTGACTGATTTCTTTTTTAGTCGGGAGAGACCAGGGGCAATTCCGTTCCAGTTCCAACTTGGGGTTGGACAAGTCATTCAAGGATGGGAAAAAGGTCTATTGGACATGTGTGCAGGGGAGAAGCGAAAGTTATCCGTTCCCTCCAGATTGGCCTATGGGGAACACGGCTCAGGTAACAACTTTTGTCAATTGTTGCATGTTCTGTAAACTTTTCACTCCTACTGAAACTGAATATGCAAATCCTATCCTATATATCAGGTAAAACTTTATCATTTGGAGCTCTAGTGTTGTAAGAATGCAGGCGCCGGAACATAGATCAATGCCTCTCTCTCTAAAAAAAAATGCTGATTGTTAAATTTACGCACACTTTGAAACAAGACACACACGGTGTAATCTTCGCCAATACGTAACTCTGCTCTATTTATCAAATGACCGAGGTTATCTGAATATCTTTCATTCCATCAAATCAATGCGTTGTATGCTATCCGTCATGCATCATTCATAGCACATTACAATGAGATTTCAATATAATTAACGTGCACCTGTCAACCTTTGTAATCTTCGTAGAGTAGTAACTGTGCAAAGGAAGCATTGCTAAGGTCGTTACTAACTCGTTTGTCTATTTTTGGCTGGAATGTCTATATTGTTATTAGCTTTAAAAACTTAAGATTGAAGTTTTTCTGTTTTAAGGGCGTTGAATATATAGGCGGTCAAGACCACAAATGGATATGCATCTACACTTTTTAATGTGTATTTGAAACTAATCTAGCATTGTATGCAGCTTACACCATCTGCAGCTTCCAATATGTTAGCAAATTGCTTCTTTTATCATTTACTGACAATTACCGTTCCCCAGTGTGTACAAGCCTAATTACAACGACTTAAATCAATTTACAATAAAATATTAAAAATTGAACGAAGATACAAGATCTCCCCGGGGACAGTTCGATTTTACTCTACTAATTTACTAATTTGTCCGCACTTTTCTTTCTGACCTTTGAACGTAGTAACGTACTATGGTGTACAATTTTCATCTTTTTCAGGATTGGTTTAAAAATACTTGTATTTTACAGCATATGTTTCAGAACTTTTCAATATGATTTAATTCGATTTATGAATAGTTGTAATCATAAAAACATAACAGTGTTTTAAATTTTAAGTAATTAATTAATTAATTTGATTGATTAATAAATTATCTTCAGCACCAATCATCGCCCCCAATTCTGATTTGGTGTTTGAGGTAGAGCTGATCCAGATCCATGACGGACCAAAGCCACCAAACGTATTCAAACTCATAGACATCGACAGTGACAACCACTTGACCAAGGATGAAGTAAGTATCAGACTCGGGACGTGCTGAAGTTATAAACGTTTCTTGACCATTGGTCCACTCTATCCAGACACGTAGTTTCAGGACTAGATAGATTGCGAAAGAAATTGGAAGAACTCCATCCCTCTATTCCAAATAAGATGTTCAAGTTTACACCCTTTTTTCTTTTTTCGTTTGTTTGTCAACGTTTTCTCAGCTAAATTGATATTTTTCTCTGGCTGCCTCCTGTCAATATGATACTATACCTGCCTGGTACCACCCAATCTAGCTGCAGAACTGTAGCTCTCTGCTTGAGAAAATTCGGACAGACAAAGCAGAGTAGTGAGCGACAAAAAATTGTCGGCGTAAATCGAAGGTTTTTACAACGCTTGGATCTGTAGCTCTCTGCTTTATCTGTCCGCAAGCTGAAAATCATGTCGAGTCTTTATCTTCGGTAAATTAGAATATTTGGATATGTCGTCTACCTCAATATAATTTTTCCTCAGTATAAAATAACTAGATCTTGATCTTCGTAAATACAAAATTACATATTTGAGGAAATAATAAAGGATCGATGAGTGTGTATTTGAGTATTCTTCACAATGAGTCATTAAGTTCTTCATGCACGTCATAAAAGATCTTTCTCTTCGGGCCTACATGTCATATTTATCACGGGGACCCGACGTTACTTTGTTTTCTTTTAATGAAAAATTATACCCCTACCTAAAAGGGATACTTTTTTCTTAAAAGAAAAATAAGTAACGTCAGGTGCATGTATATTATCATCAACGCATGATAATACTGCATGCATTTTGAGATCATATATTGTTATCCAAGCATTATAAACCTTCTAGTTGTAAACCTCGCGACGGAGTGAGAGGGTAATCTAGTAACGCAACTCTGGTTGAGTGAGTTAGTGCTGTAGAGAACTGAAGTGGCGTAATTTGCATCAGGAACGACATGCTCTTTGCGAGGGCAGGGGTGCTCCGCCTGGCTTTTTGTAAAACAAGTCGTTGTACATTTTATGTTGGTCTCTGTTGATTGGTGGTGATTTAATTTACAAAGTTTTTCCTAATAGCATTTGGCCCCACCTGCGGTATTTCTGTCCAGCTCTAAAATTTTGTATTGTTTTATGTGATTTTGAGATTGATCACTGATCATTACTTCGCGATTCATTTATTTTACTCGAAAAATATTTCCTCATGGAGTTCTAAGGAGAATAAATCACAACAATATTAATGGAGTAAAATTTACATTTCAAAATATGTTTTCCTTAAGAGTCTACGCAATTTATTAAGTTCACGGTTCTCGTGAACTACCTAGGAATGAATAGAATACTTTCACTGTGACGCAATACAGTAAAAAAAATACTGCACCTTTTTTATTACAAGAAATGGGGGAAAATAATTTAAAATCTC